TTTTTTAAAATAAAAATCTGAAACAACTCTCCCGACATTTTTATAAATTGTAGCATCAATTTTTTTCTTCTTCTTTTCATGTTATTTTTATTTATTTATTTGTTTTCTCCTTTCATACATTGCTTAAGACTTTACCATTTCCCCATAGCATGATCGCTTTATTTTCTAAAAACAATAAAAACCTCAGAAGAGCAAGATGCAATGGAGAAATAAGATTTCGAGTGGAAAAAATTTATTTTTTTAAATTGAAGTACAGATAATAAATAATGCGTGGTTTATTCCATGCATTCTGTATTCATGACGTAAACAAATGAAGAAAAAAATTCAAGCATCATATTTTCAAGATTGTTTTGGTATATTTGAGGTAACGTCTATTTTATCACGAGGAACAGCATAGATTCTATTCAATATTTGAGTAGTTCTGCAGAGATTTAGAAAAAAGTATATTTTATTTTGAAAATATATGTTTATTCAATACGATATTGTATAATATATACGTTTAATCGAAAATTTTATCATTGTTTGCTTTTTATATACGACAGTTAAAAAAACAATAATACTATAGTTTATTGCAGAAACAATCGGCAAAAACCAATCTGTCCATAAACCGAAGCTTAATCCTTCGACGACGATAGATTTTTTTCTGACACTCTAATTATATTGTTGTTGTTGTTAATTTACGTCGCACTAGAGCTGCACAATGGTCTATTGGCGACGTTCTGGGAAACATCCCGGAGGATGATCCGAAGACATGCCATCACAATTTTGATCCTCTGCGGAGGGGATGGCACCCCCGCTTTGGTAGTCCGACGACCTGCGCGCGAAGTCGAGCACTTTACGGTAGCACAGTTTAACGAGGACCAATACCGCACACCCTCGGTCCCTACGCAGACTGATCCAAGTGGTCACCCACCCGCACACTGACCGTAGCCAGTGATGCTTGACTTCGGTGATCTGCTGGGAACCGTGTCTTAACGATCAGTCCACTGCGGGACCACTCTAATTATAAGCAAATATATATGTTGGTATTTTTTAATTGTAAAAAACGGTCTAATAGTTATTAAAAAACACTGTTAAATTATCGGGATTATATTTGTACTAAAATATAAATCCAAAAAAGTAGTTTGATTTTTTTTTCCCATTCATATTCAGAAATGTATCAATAATTGATTTTGCGAATTAAAAAAATTTCAATATTCAATTACTAATTACTAAATCTAAATAACAGCAAATAAATGTGAATTTAAAAAAAAAAAAAAAATAAAATAAATTTTTGTAAGTGAGCCGTGTTTCGAAGATTTTACTTTTAAAGAAGAAAAAGACACCGTTATTTAATGCCGTAGTTAACAACGATAAAGTAATAAAAGGTTAAATATAACATTTTTTTACTTATTTTAACATAAATTAATACAAAATAAAGTAAAAAGCATAAAAAATATGTTTAATAAAAATTCTGCGTCAGATCCTTACTTCTGATAGTTCAGTGTCAGAAAGTTAAAAAAAAAAAAAAAATTCTGAAATTGAAAATAAAAATGTGACGAAAATCTTTTAGTTTAGTTTTGAGAAAAATATCCAACTTTTCAAGTTTAAAATTCCTGTATCTCTATTGGCACTTTTTTTTTTTTTTAAATTAAAGGGAAAAAAAAACTGGTAATGGAACACATGTAAACAATTCATGCGATTTCAGAATTAAAGAAGTTTTCGTAATTACCACCCGTAATATATATATTAGAACATTCGACAAAAAAGCGTGAATAATATGCGTCGCGAATTAACATTTAATCAAGAAATAAAAAAAAACACAGCCAGATCTGCCGAATTATTAATAAGCGAAATGAAATAGATAACTTCAAAACCAGTTTTATTATACAGAATATAGATGAAATAGTTAGCTAGATGAAATATGCAGGTGTTTCTAAACATCTTCTTTTGATTTCTCTTAGCTTTCTTCAGCACTCAAATAGGTTTTGATGATTTCAGTCCCGCCTTCCTCAATAATGCGATTTGTTATGTTTTGTTTTTCTCCCACTTCAATTATTATTTTCGAAAAATAATATAAACTTTTTGTCCTATAATTTATGACAAATGTACATTAGGAGTGGTGGTTACGGAACACTCTCAAATATTACGGATTTTTTTTTAGTTTTTTGGATAACTTTCTTTTCTTTTTATTAAAACATTTTTCGTTATGTTCCAGAAATTTTGTGAGGAATTTTTTTTATGTTCTAGAAAAGATATGTTCTACTGCATGTTTTAGAAACATAATTAAAATTCGAAGCATTCAAACTTGATTTCAAAAACTTTCAAAACTTCGTCAGACGATTTTCTGCACGGTTTAGCGCTCAAGAAACACAATCATAACAAGGTTTCTCTAGCCGAGCGGTGTCCCGCAGCGGACTGATCGTTAAGACACGGTTCCCAGCAGATCACCGAAGTCAAGCATCACTGACTACGGTCTGTGTGCGGGTGGGTGACCAATTGGATCAGTCTGCGTAGGGACCGAGGGTGTGAGGTATCGGTCCTCGTTAAACTGTTCTACCGTAAAGTGCTCGACTTCGCGTGCAGGTCGTCGGGCTACCGAAGTGGGGGTGTCATCCCCTCTGCAGAGGATCAAAATTGTGATGGCATGTCTTCGGATCATCCTCAGGGATGTTTCCCAGACCGTCGCCAATAGCCCATTGTGCAGCTCTAGTGCGACGTAAATTAACAACAACAACAGCATGAANAATATAGCCTACGTCACAGGTTGTGTTGTTCCTACTAAATTTAACCCATGAACGGCATTTTCTGCGAGCCTAACTTCAAGCCACAAATAAACAAACGAAGTGTTCGATCGTTTAAATAGCTGCTCGCCAGATTTTATTGCATTATAAAGAAAAGTTATTGAAACTAAATACAACTAAATAAACAACAACAACTAAAACAAATAACAACAACTACTAATAAACTAAATAAACAGCAACTAAATTCCATTCGTTTAGCATTGCGTCATATGTTGTTCCTACTAAATCGAAGTAGTTGTGTTTTTTTCATATTATACCCAATTTTAAATATCTCTATTTTTACAAACTCTATAAATACGCTTCTGGGTGAAACTACAACAAATTACTTTAGAGAATTTTCACCCCATAAAGGGGAAAAAATAAAGCCCGAGGCCTTATTTTTCCTACAACCTCCAAAGAAAACAGTTGCGGGGGAGAAAAAAATTCCCCCAAAAAGATCGATGAAGAAACCGGTGAACTCATCTCCTACAACAGTTACAAAAAAAGCATTGAAGATCCCCACTCATTATTTTAGGGTATTTTTTCTTAATTTTTTCATAAGTCGAAAAGTATGAAGCGTTAATAACCTCCTGGAAATTTTTAATTTACGATACCCGTTCTCAGAGGATCTAAAGTCTGCTATAAAAATAGATAAATCAAGCTGATTAGGGGCAAGAGGGCGAAGTAACACGTACTGAGAAGTAATCGTTAAAATTTAACGATTAGTTTTAAGTATTCGTTAATTGCGGCACGTATAATCCCCTAATGAAGATACCAGGTTATTCTAAGTGGTCGTTAAAATTTATTGGAAACGATAAAGTAACGTACGCATAATGATCTTAAACAAGAAGTAGCAAAGAAAAAAAATTATTTCTCTTTTTTAAGATAACCTATTTGATTAAGAAAAATGGACGTTATTTTCATTTTTATTGTTTCTCGTGAGGGGTATTTACTAGGATAATTTTTTGTAACTCGTAAGATTAACTGAATCGAATGATTTGAACTTGTAAAATTTGGAATTTTCTTTGAGAATCTTTAAAAATCAGGTAAAAGCTGTGTGAATTTAAAAACATAAGAAGTCAGCTTTTTCAAATAAGAATTGAAAAATGGATCGTACTTGACAGAAACATCAGGGTAATCTTTTCAGAATGCTCTTTTTTTTTTTTTAAACATAAGGCTCATTAATTAAAGAATTCCGAATGTTTAGAAGGAATCAATGTATTCTTATTAAAAAATCCTGATTTTTGGAGAACACAGGCGTATTTTTATTGAACAATTATGATTTTTTTTTTTTAGAAAACATAGGCATGTTTATACTTATTGAAAAAAATTCCGAAATTTTCAAAAATTTAGACTTGTTTTTATTGCAAAAAAAAAAAAATTTTTTTTAAAAACATAAACATATTCTTAATGAGAAGAATACCGAATTTTCAGAAAACATCAACGTACTTTTATTGAAAAAAAAACGCAAATTTCAATAAGTTTTGACGTATTTTTAGTAGAAAAGAAACAGAATTTTTAGAACACATGCTTGCAGGGGCGGGGATAGCCTGGTTGGTAGGGCACTGGGCCCATGTCCAAGGGTCGTGAGTACGATCCCCGCCGGCCGAAGACTTTCCGGGTAGTAAATGGTGAATGATGCATGTTAAATCTGTCGAATCGCAAAGTCCACTATGTGCCCGTAACAAATCATTACCTCTGGGGGAACTGATCCAAGAGTTTCCTTGTCTTCTGGATAGGTTCCAAATTACAAGACTACGGAGTTGAACATTAGTAGTCGTAAACCCAAAAACTGGGTCGGCTGTTCAACGACGGATATAAAAATACACGTTTAAAGAGTCGTGGTGGCTCAAGGAATGGAGTGTTCACCTTCCCATGAGGTGTGGTGGGTTCGAATCACGCCGGCTCCCCCCGATCACAGTGCTAACGTAAAATATCCTCAGTGGTAGACTAATCACGGGTTGGAACCCCCTTGTCGTCGAGCTAACCAAAGGAGGTTTTCGTGAATTTTCTCTCAAATGAGTGTTAGTTCCATCAAAAAGTCAACAAAGAAGGCAAGTTTGTTCTAATGCTTGTTCCAGGAGTTCCCGTGTCTCCTGGGTTGGGTTCCAAATTACAAAGCTACGGAGTTGAATATTGACAGCCGCAAACCCAAAATTAGATCGGCTGTTCAACTCTGGTTATAAAATAAAATAAAAAGTACCTTAGTACCTTTCTAAATATATTAATTTGACTTACGTGTCTGTAAAATCATCTTCTAAATCATCTCCACCTTCTACATCAACAGCTTCACGTGCGTTAGACAGGAATAGAACTGGACTCGAGTGACCCGCTATCATCCAACCTAAAATTAAAATAAAAGCAATAGTAAACTAATAGGTTGAAAACCATAAAATTTCTGAAATAAAAGCATTTTAAGCCTCTACCGTTATATGAATGAATGCTTTTTTTACAGAGAACTACTGTTTTATAAACTGTTGTAATAATTATTCCGGACTCTTGGGTCATTGATTTGTTCATTTACGTCGCACTAGAGCTGCACAATGGGCTATTGGCAACGGTCTGGCAAACATCCCTGAGGATGATCCGAAGACATGCCGTCTCAATTTTGATCCTCTGCAGAGGGGATGGCACCCCCGCTTCGGTAGCCCGACGACCTGCACGCGAAGTCGAGCACTTTACGGTAGAACAGTTTAACGAGGACCAATACCGCACACCCTCGGTACCTACGCAGACTGAAACAAGTGGTCACCCACCCGCACACTGACTGTAGCCAGTGATGCTTGACTTCGGTGATCTGCTGGGAACCGTGTCTTAACGATCAGTCCACTGCGGGACGAGTGTTGGGTCAAAACGCCTATCGTTAGCTGCAGAGTCTTGATGCTGATTTCAAATATAATGTTTAAGAAGTTTTTAATGTTCAAAATGTTTTTAATGATTAAAAATTTTTTAATGTTTAAAAAATTTTTAATGTTCAAAATGTTTTAATGTTCAAAATGTTTTTGATGTTTAAAAAGTTTTTAATATTTAAAAAGTTATTAATGTTTAAAAAGTTTTTATTGTTTAAAAAGTTACTCCACTGCTAGAATATCTAGGTTCATAAAAATTCTCTAAAATTCAGAATTCATTATTGGTTTTGATAAATTTCATTTACTTTTAAAAATCGTGCCACATTAGTGATTTTTAAAACAAGTTTAATAATTTTTAAAATATTTAAGTTATTTGCCAGTTCTAAATTCCAAATAATTCTCTACGCCAAGATGGTATTAGATAGTTTAAAATTATAGCTTTTTTTCAAATGTAAGGCCTGTAAATTGAGTGTTTTTTTATATTATAATTATTTTATTTTATTCATTTTTTATAAAATATATATTTATTATTTTATTATAAATATTGTATATATTTTCTATGAATTTTTATCTAGATGGAAAGATCTAACGAAATTGGTGACTTTTTTTTTTTAACAAAACTTAATATTATAATATCGTTTATAAAATGTAAACTTTACTCCGTTTTAAATACCAAGTAATTCCTAACGACAATTTGTTTATTAAAAAAACGCATAGTTAAAATGTGAATTTTAATTAAGCAATTTTTAACTAAGCGTTTTAGTTAAGCGCTTAATTAAATTCAAGATTTCATCAATGTGCAAACAATCGATGATTACTCGTATCATGCCCAAGATTCTAACAATGTGCGGAATTTGATGAGCTCTTGGAACATGTTAACTGTTGTATTTATACATTTCTGAAGCGAATAAAGTTTTTAATCAGTTAATATCTTGCCGCTCCAGTTTCTTGGTATTATTTATTTAATAATAAAGGTTTGTTTAATGCCAAACTTCTAAACTCTAGTTCGAAAGAAATACGCTGCGATTAACATTATTCAATAAACCTAACCGAATTAATTTGTATTATAATTAAGTAAATTCGGGAACGAACTCTGTTAATAAGAAGCTTATAAAAACCTTCGCTGCTGGGGAAAAAAATATGCCAGAACTAATTTTAAGAACATTTAATGCATTTTTTTGCTTCCTAAACCGGGCAGTTACGCTATCGAGCAAGACAGGTAGGCGTAATAGGCAATCAAAAAAAGATCTATATCACAGAAATAGTGTATTTCATTGCACCGATGACAGCGTACCTCACACGTTGAACCACGAAAAAAAGAACGAAAACTAATAAAACGAGAAGAAAGGGAGAAAAAAAAAACACACAATTACTTCTCCAGAAAGGAAACAAATAAAAGAGAAAAGTTCGCTTTTGTCGGAAGAGTTTCCAGAAATAAAAATTAGAAAGAGAGAAGGGGAAAAAGATATACTTTCTTATTATAATACTTCTCCACTTCGGAGACACTTAGATTTATAGTCGTAGAAGGAAAAAAATGGAAAAATTGAATTCCAGAAGAAGAAAACAAGCAAAAAAATAAGGCTTTTTTCTTCCACAATATTTCACTTCTTATAAAGAAACTGTTTCGATTACAATTTTCCCTAGAATGTTCCAGAAAAGTTGGCAAACGTGGAATGTTCTGCAGACTCTAATCATGATAAATGGTGCCGGGCTAAAATTTTAGGGGAAAAAGAAATGGTATAATAACGTTATATAAAAATATTATATTCATGTAAAAGAGTAGGAAAAAGTACTTTGTGTCCAATGTTGGTGGTAGGGGAAAAGTTGGAATTGCTTCTTTCTGCAGGGATTAAGCTTGAAATGAATGTGACGTCGTATGAGGCACATAGCAATGTCTCTTATTTATCTTCCAAGGATGAATTATACTGTTTTTTCGAAATAAGTATTTCCAGAAAATACATATGTAATAAAAATGCTTTCCGGAGTTTTAAATGTTACGTTTTGTACGTAGTATTTTGTATAGCTACTTTACATTTTAGTAGTTACGACATTTTTACCTTTTTTTAAAAAAAAAAAATTAAAATTAAATTTTTTACCTCAAAATATGAAACTTTAAACCAATTTCAGGAAACTTAAATCTTTTTTCAAAACGACTAAATTATGAAAGGAAAAAAAAAACGTGAAATTTTTTTATCGACTTCTGTTTGAAATTAAAATAAAAAAATTAAGAAAAAAATTTTCGTTATTGCCTACGTACATTGTCTACATGTAACGCTTATGAAATGTTTAAATTTTTCCCGAAAAACAAACACTATCGTAGAAAAATGTTGAATGTCATTCCCAAATATTTTACGACAGAGAAAAGAAGAAGAAAAACAATACTTGAAAACTCGAATTCAAATTGACAACAATATATTATAATTAAAAAATTAATGCATAAAGCGAGTACGCCACAATTTAATAATGTATCCGTGGTTTATGTTTATTGTATCACGTTTCATTTTTATCATAACTTACATAAAGTAAGAAATTCAATATTCTTCTGGGCAAGAAAAATATATTTCAAATACGAAAAATGGAACAAAATAAAAAAGAAGAAAATGAGAGCTTTTAACATGTTGTATGCCAAGGGGGCCACCGGTGATCGGCACTGAGTTTGTTCGTAGCTCCACGGGGGTCACCGGTGACCGGCGAAGCGAAGATTATCAGAAACACATAATTCGAGTAAATTTTAGATTTTTTTAATATTATTATCGTTACTAAAATGGTTTGAAGAAATTAATGCAATATAGAACACACAAAAATAGTTTTATTTATATACGCAGAGATGCAAACTTGCTCCGGACAGCGAATAAATATCTTCAAGTGTTAGTTTATTAATCGTGATTCTTGGTTTAATAAATTCAATTGAGTAGATTTTTATCCACCTCTATTTCTAAACAATTCGTAGACTTATGTAACCCGCCACTTTTTTTCACATATGTCAAGCTAAACCTTTTAAAAAACTAGCAAAATCTGACTAATACTTGCAAATTTAGTTTGTAGTTGTTTACCATTTGACCAGACGAGCAAGTCATGTAAAATCAGCGTGGCATTCAACATGTTAATAAGATTTTAAGTTTCTAGAAAATATATCGTTCCTTCAAAAATACTGAACTTAAGTTCCAGCGTTACTCGTGTACTACATGAAAACAAATACAGAAAATTTAAAAAAAAAAAAAAAAAACTTTTTAAACCTTAACGCGCAATAACACCACACAATTTTAAAAAAACAATACTTTTACAATTTAAAAATATATTTACAATTTTAAAAAAAATGTTGGTAAATGAGTAGGTAAAGGCCTGGTTTCTTCGGACAGGTCGGCGCTACGAAACGTCAGCTTGAAATGAGAGCTAACCCCTGATTGGTCAATTTGTGAGTTAGACAGCATACGTCATCGAACGCTCAGATTGACGTCCGAATCAACTGCAGTTGGATTACAACGTAACGTTAACGACAGAAGCAATGGCGGACATCATCCAACAGAGCATTGAAATCAGCCAAGATTTTGATCTTAACATTAAACATAGCTCCTTCTTTCTCTTCATTTAGCTCAGCTATAATGTGTTTTTTCTAGGACAAAGTCATTATTTGTTCTCTAAGGCACTGGTCGACGTTAACAAAATCAATACAAATTCAAAATAATTATTTGTTTACGTTATTAGCGCATGCGCAATACGAGATAATGTCTGCATTGGACAGACTGCTCACGCTGAATTTACAAAACAGTATTTTGTTGGCGTCAGGGTAAACGCCAACTTACCGCTGCCGCCAAGATAAGGAGCTTGTCCTAAGAAACCAGGCCTTAACATAACTGTACAATCTTATTAAATTCTTATGTTACTTCAAGTCTAAGTTAGAAAGATGATTTTGAGACTACCTTATTTCACGTCTAAGCTAAAAAGACGATTTTATTACAACCGTATTACACGTCTAAGTTAGAATGATTTTGATACAGCCATAAAGACACTTCACTGTTTAATTAAAGTGTCAAATATATGCACAAACACGTTCGTTTTAAGTGCTTCAGTAAAGTCGGCAAAACGTCAACACAATCCCAATTTAAACCCGTAAAAGCACTTGCACTTTAAAAAAAAAAATGGTAGATTAGATATCTGCAGGGCAATGACTGAAATAAAATAGCAATCAATTTTCAAGCTTTTGACACTTTTAATTTACTAACTGAAACACATTCTCTCTGATGCCATTCTCTAAAACGCCAAACACAAATTATAATCCTTTTCGAAAGCTAAACAAACCCCCTTGCCTAATGAAAAATACACAAATGAAGGAGGCACAAAGCATAAAAGCTAAATCTACTTCAGCAAACATACCATTAAATCTTTATTTCCATCTCCTCCAGAAGACCTGAAAAGCATAAAAATGGTCCCGAAAGCATCCATCTTCTCCGGGTTTTAAATAAATGCACACCGTACAGTACCGGTAAATAATTGA